CCCCAAAACCCCAAAACCCCAAAACCCCAAAACCCCGTTTATAGAGTAGGCTATTGAATATTTTGCTTTAAGAGTATTATGGGGGTTTCAAAATTAATACTCGAGAATTATTGGTCAAAGCAATAGTCTGTCCTTGAAGAAGATAGCTAGATATATTCTTGGAGCATCTCCCCCTCTCAAGGAGTCTCTTTACCTTTGAATTTTTTAAAACCAACTCAGTTACGGTTAAAAATTAAGATTCTCATATTCTTGAAGCCTTTGACACTCTCTGGTTTCTATTCTATTTTAATAAATTTTGACTACTTCTTGGTTAGCTTCTGAGAATTTGTGAAAATCTTCATGAAACACTATGCGGCAATAGCCTTCGACTTTTGGGGGTTCAAGTTTAATGTTTTCGAATTTTGAATACTTCTGTTTCAAAAGCTATCCTGAGGTGTGCTCGCCTCTCACAGCTCAAAATCAGTCCTTAATGCAGAATCGGTTTAAAATTTACATTAAGCCTATTCTTTGATAAACTAAATATATTTTTCGCTCTCTCAAAGTCATAGAAAGTTAAAATACAAGATATTACCGATAATCTGAAGCAGCCCAATGCTCAAGGTGGGACACAATTTATTAGCTCAATTTTATTTCAATGAAAAATACATTGGGTTACCATCCTGATCTATCAGCTTGTCTTCATAGAGCTTCCTCAATCTTTTTCTATTTGATTCTGCCTCCTCTTGCTGATCGTAAACTTCTTTTAGATCACATCGTAGCGCTTCTATATCTTCCCTCATGCTCTCTAACATCTTATCCTTCTCTTCTTCTATTTCTTTCTATCTCCTTCTTAGCTTGGTTTCATTCTGCTGTTTTTCTCTATTGAGCATCAAGTGGTTCCTCCCATGGTTAGCTAAATGACCAAGCTGGTCTTTAAAGCATTACTTGATCGCATTTCTCTGTCTTTGAATAGAGTTGAGAAGGTAGGAAGAACTTCCAGCGTTAGGTTATTTTTCTCCAAAACTTTCTTCTGCCTACTAATCAAACAAGACTGGACGAAGGCTTCGAATGCTTCCGGCTGCAACGTGTTACCTATGTTGAGAATTATATGGAGTCCTACACATGGATGTGAGACAGTCTCTGGAAAGTGGCCTCTTTTCATATTCATTTGGTAAGTATCTATTTCCATCTCAATTCTCAAGGAAGAACTGCAGGATGCTCTGAACATTTAGGCCTTTGAACTAAGGGATATGCCTGACTATCACGTCTTTATTGTGAAGGAACAACTTCTCGCCTGTCATTACCTCGCTGATGAACTCTACTGTTAAATTCTTGTATGGTGGCAAGAATCATTGACCTTCTGTGTTCAATAATCGATAGAGCTCGTATTTCGATCTCGTGACTCCTCTAATACTAATGAGATTTATCGTCTCTTTCTGCATGGTCGAGTCGTAGCCTGGTCTGTTTAATATTACATCTTATATGGGCCTTTTATTCAGTAGTCGGTGATGATTTTTAGAAGGAATTAGCATGAAGACATGGCTAGGAACCTGGATCCAAGTCATTAGAGAATGTAAACACAATGTGTGAGAAACCAGTCATAATTATTCGTAATAATTTTTTGATGTTCAGCTTAGTTCTTCAGCCTTGGGGTTTTGGGGTTTTGGGGTTTTGGGGTTTTGGGGTTTTGGGGTTTTGGGGTTTTGGGG